AGAGGCATATTACCTCTAGCAGCAGTATCCTAGCCTAAACTTAGTAAAATGTAACACAGCTTTGGGTGGACAGAGGTGAGAGGGCGGAAACCAAGGAAAGCCCTGATGTGCTTTGGACCTCAAACATGTAGTTACTGGGAACAGCATAAACCCAGATTCACACTCCCTGCTGGGATCGAGGGAATATGAGTAGACGTTCTGTGAAGTCCAAGCTATAGATAGATACTGTAGTACGCCTATAGGTAGTCTATAGACGGCAAACTCTACGACATGGTAGGCATGGTAGGACTTGTGCTATTTTTTAATAACGTTTTATTTAACCCATAAGCTAGTCACTTTACCTCATACAGATTGTGAGTGCATACCGGACGTTGACCTCTTACAAAGCACACACAGGCACTATTATAGTATATTATTTACTGGTCTTAGTAAGCGTGATTACTAGAATTAGCACTTTAGCATAGGCAAATACTTCTACCAGCATTATTGTAGTCCAAATCAAGTAGAAATGATTACAGTCTGATGGAGAGAGTCGAGAGGGTGGAAACCAAGGCAAGCTGTGCCGTGCTCAGGACCCCAAAAATGTACTTAGTCGAAATAGTTGAAACCCAGATTCACAGGTCCTTGTTGAGATCAGGGGGGTATGAGCCCCAGCGTTGACTTTAAACAGCGTCACCTCTGACAAATGATAGCGTCAGTGCTATTATCAGTGTGGTTAGCGCCGACTACGTCGGCTATCGCTATAATCCACCCCCTGAGACTGTCACCTTCTGTACCAACCGGTTGGTGCACTTGGTGGGCTTCATCGAAATCGATGCTCGAGCACATACAAACTTTGCGGTAATTTCTATCATGGAACACAATGCCTACATATAAATTAAGCCCGGAAACCAACAGAATTTATAGTAAATAAGATACCTCATTAAACGTCTACAAAAATACTGAAACATTTCTTTCGACTAGAAAATACCACTTACGTGGGTTGTAATATTACTACCGTACAGCATAATTCTAAACCTCATTGCGACAGCTTTTAAAAACTATACTGTTACAATAACTATTTCAATAGTATGCATCTTTCGTTGTTTTTCAAGGCCCCTATAAGTTAAAATTTATTTTATAGAAAATGTGCATAAAAGCACTCGTTTTTGTACAAATTTGGTAGCAAACTACGTCTTTTTCCTATGTTTGTTTTTCAAAAAAAGGTTTTTAATTTTGAAATTTTCGAGGACCGCGAAATGGTTATGCATAAACTATTATATGATTCCATTTATTAATGCCGTTTGTAAGGTATACCATATGGTGCACATTCACTGTCAAATTTTGCGAGCACTCTATTACTTCTCTTTAATACGTGCAAGTTTTTCCTTACAGTTTGAAAGTCCTGAATTTAAGTGTAACAACAGGCAGAGTTAACATTTATTTAGGAATTAAGCAAGTTTTTTAAACCGAAAGGTTTTCTGTCATGTTAGCACGAAAGACATGCTTAAGCATGTTTTTTAAAGAACAGGTTAGAATTTATAGGGGCGTTGAAAATCTATGAAAACTGCATATTACTTAAATGGTAATGTTGTACAGAGTGTAGTCCTCGGAGGCGGATGGAAGAATGTTTGTTCGGCAGCCTGGAGCGACTTAAATATCTTGAGATTATGTTGTACGATAATTGTTATCAAAACTCTACTTGGTATTGTTTTATAAACGAAGACGGATTTCAGAATTTATGTTGAGACGCCGCATAAGATAGCACATCCGTAGTCCGAACTTTCCACCACTCGATGATTTTGCGCACGTGTCGACTGTCACAGCTGCCCAAGGCCGGGTTACTCCTCCACTGCATA